ATGTGTGCATGAACGGGACGCGGACGACGCAGGATGGTTCGGGAGACCAGACACCTCTGGGTGGGAAATTTACCCGAACATGTTCGCGAGGAGAAGATTGTGGAGCATTTTAAACGGTGAGTTACACAAGCAGCGACGCGGCCTGGCGCGGACACAACCCGCCTCAGCGCGCGATGGCGGAAAACCAGCGATGAAGCGCCGACGAGAGCCGTTTAAAACACCGGAACGAGCCGCAGACGCGATTTAACGGGGAGTTCAGAAACACAGCGAATCCGTCTCCGACGAGTTAAGCAGCTAGCTTCGGGGAGCGGCGAGTGTTTGTGTGCGTGTTAGCGGTTAGCTCGCTGCTAGCGCTGAGCCGGTTTAGCAGCGGGAACCGATTCCGTCCGAAGAAACAGAAACTCGCTCGAGAATCTGCCGTTGCGTGTAACACAATAACCGCTGTGTTCCTGAAGTACAACGAAGCTCTGGACGTCCATGTCCGTGGAGTGAACTGAATCAGTGTACTGTGTGAAATCGCTTTGAGATCGTAGTGTGAACGGGAGTATTCCTATTTTAGTCGCATTATCGTAGCGCAGCACAGACATGCACACCTTAATCAGGATACACACACGGCTAACTAAAGAGAAACGCCGTCATCTGCTGGCACGTATAGCATGCCAAATAGTTAACTGCACTTGAAGCGGGCCTAAAATTAAAAACGAAACACCCAAAACTGTACATGGCACAATAACGAAGACCAACTATATGTCGATATGTGAAACTGTGGAGGGCGTGGCGTGGGGACGTAATGACCGTTAATAGATCTATGTACTGGAACATGAAAGGATTCTAAAAGCAACTCGTGTCAACACCTTAATCATAATATTGCCTTATTCAGAATAAGGTAAATAATTAGATTACTGATGTCCATGTAAACATTAACTGCATCCCAATTGATGCACTTATTCAGCATGTACTTATGCACTATATACTGAACGTAGTGTATAAATTATATAAGGATAGTTGGTCATTCATACTCTGAGTGATAGCTCCGCCCCCTTCGCTATGTAATTAAAGCTGCAACACTTTTTATTTTTGTAATCTTCGGTGTGAATGCACTACTCGCACTATTTATACCACAAAACGTCATAGAATAGTGCATAGGTACGTGATTTGGGACGCACCTAATGTCATTGTCAGCTGTTAAACGAACATAAGGTCCAAAGGCCCGTTCACACCAAGGACGAAAACGATAAAGATATAGTTCTAAAAATCGTTCTCAATATTAAAGAATAGCAGAGTCCACACCACAGCTATAACGATAAAGACAAAGAGAAACGATATCGTTGGAATCACTTTTAGAACGATTTTTTCCAGCTGATGAACGATACAAACACTGACAGCCAATCAGAATCCATCCTGCTGTAACGAGCTGGAGAATTTAAAGCGGCAGACGCGCGTGTGCTTAGAATAAACAGACGATATCGTCCTCTGGCGTGGATGGTAATATCGTTATCTTTATAGTTATCGATCTTGGTGTGAATGGGGCTTAAAAGTTCAGAAAGTGAATTTTGACATTTAAAAAAACATCACACTTCCTCTCAGGTTGACCTAGGGCTGCACGATAAATCGAAATGAAATCACGATTAGGCAAAAGTTGTGATAGTCATGCGCATCTCGTGAGTGAAGCACGGTTCTGTGATTAGTAGTAAATCTTCATCTGAAGGCCAGAGAAACTCAGAAGAAACCCAGGAAATAGCGCTAGCTGAATAAACAGAAGATTTAACTGCTTTCATTGATTCAGCGAGACTAATAAACACACGACTGCGACAATGTATGGTTTATCTGAGTTCTTCTTATTATAATGTTTATTATAATAAAGTATATAATAATGCAATGCCTTTATCGCTGCTTAGAATACTATGAAATATGTTGCATGCCTTATTCTGTGTAAGAAGCCACATCATCTCACAGAAGGATTTATTACAAACACTCGACTGACGTTATGAAGTGAGTTTGGAGTAAAAACATCTTATTAAATGTGGTGCTTTCAGATGGAGCAGCGTTTACAACACAGAGCCATAGTTCACGGAGAAGCTACGCAAACAGCTGTCATTATCGCGAACGATTTCTTCTATTTCATAATCGCACGATTTATATCGTCTGCGATTTTTTTTTTTTTTTGCGTAGCTTGTCAGTGAACTACGGCTCTGTGTAGTAAATGCTGCTCCATCTGAAAGCACTTGATGGAGATTTACTACTGATTATAGAACCGAAGATGCGCTTCCTTATTAATCGCACAGCCCTAAAAGAAACCCATTCAGAAGGAAAAGACAGGAAATGTAGAGCCATGGCCTATAGCACCATCTTCAGGCCACGTATCTCCTTACTGAAGCCATGGATGGATCTTTCTTGTACGTCCTTCAAGGTCTCACCCACTTCTGGTACGATGGAAGGGATGCGTCACAGTTAGAGTTTAAGTTCTGGATGTGTGTTTAGTTCACGTTCTTCAGCTGGGCAACAGGCAGAGCTCAAGCCAATCCCAGTGTTTCCACAGTGTGACCAGGAAGAGCACAAGGGCGAGGGTGGCACCGACCCGGGCGCGCGTCTTCATGAGGGGCGTGATGAAGTTGGCCATGGTGGAGACGAACACCAGCAGTACCGCCATCAGGGCCAGGATGACGTTGATGAGTTTTCCCAGCAGAGCTCGGGCATTCGCGTTCTCCACGCCCTCCAGCTGCACCACCTGCTGCTGTTGCTGCTGCAGCTCCAGTTTGGTAATGCGGGTGAGGCAGGACTCTACTGCTTCCTGCGGGCAAACACACACACACACTTGGGTTGTAACACTCAGGACTTTCTCTGGAGTGCCCAAAGTCATCGGAATAGACCTTTATCACACCTCCTATATCCGGTAAGTGAAGCAGTGTATCGCCACTTCCGATCCCATTGCAATGCAAATTAAGCGTATAACAGGGCTCCAGACTGCGACCATTTTTTCTGCCTGTGCGACTAGATTTTGTGTGCGGTTGCACTGGCGCGACCACCGCGTTGTTCAACTCGTAAACGCTGCCATTTCTGTTGCATATGAGAAACATCAAACGGCAAACGAAACTGAAAGCGTAACGAAACTGCGCTACTCGTTTGAACTGCGCAGCGCTTCGAGTGTAGAGCCTGGTTTATACTCGCCGCATAAGCACGAGAGCGAAGCTGCGTGCAGCAAAAATTACACAAATACTGAGGAAACGATGGATGGTTTTCACGCGAAAGTAAAGTAAAAGACCGCTTCTTAAACCAGAGAAGGTGAACATGTTTGTATTCTTGTGGGGAAAAACATGCGAGCGCTGTCACTGACAGCATGTTTAGTTTTACTTTTCTTTTTGTTTTCGTTTTGAAAAGCTTGTTATCTTTGCTGTTTACCTCACGTTACGCTATGGAGGCTCTCTTTTATTTATTTATTTGATTCCTCAGTGTTTGCTAAACGTTCTGTAATTTATTAGTCGGTGTACAATACAGCATGTGGTGTATGCCATGCCTCGTCTCATTCGTTTTTGTTAATAAACGTTAGTAAACGTTGTTCTCTTCAATTCTCTGGAAGGAAATGGTGCTTTAGTCGCAAATGTTTTATGCGATATTCCAATTTTGCGCATAAGTTTAATTCGTAACTTTGGAAGGAAACATAGCTTGTGATTAGCTGCTTCAGGTGTTTTTAATTTGCATTGAAAGCTAAACTCTGCAGGACAGTGGCCCTCCAGGAGCAGGATTGGACACCCTTGCTTTTTAAGGTTGGAAACTTGCACATTTGCGCACTCTTTGTTATTGGTGGTCACCTGGATGTCTCGCGCTCTTTCGTACGACTGGTACGCCACTTTCTCCTCCATGCTGGCCAGCTCCTGCTTCAGATTGCTCATCTCGTTCTGATGGAGTTCTGTCAAGTCATTGAGTTGCTCTTCCAGACGCTCGTATCTGGAGGAGAGAGAGGAGACATATGTGACCCTGGAGCACAAGAGCAGTCTTAAGTCGCTGGGGTATATTTGTAGCAATAGCCAAAATTATAGGGTCAAAATTATACATTTTTCTTTTATGCCAAAAATCATTAGGATATTAGGTAAAGATCACGTTTCATGAAGATATTTTGTAAATTTCCTACTGTAAATATATCAAAACTTAATTTTTGATTAGTAATATGCATTGCCAAGAACTTCATTTGGACAACTTTAAAGGCGATTTTCTCAGATTCCAGATTTTCAAATAGTTGTATCTCAGCCAAATATTGTTCTATCCTAGCAAACCATACATCAATGGAAAGCGTATGTATTCAGCTTTCAGGTGATGTATAAACCTCAATTGCGAAAAATCGACCCTTATGACTGGTTTTGTGCTCCAGGGTCACGATATCCCTGAAGATCTGGCTCCGGAGAGCGTTGGATTTGCCATAGGTGCTGCAGTCTTACCTGTATCGCTCCTCCTGCAAGCACTGGGTCATGTAGCTGTAGTCGCTTTGCAGTTGCGCTTTCATGTCCTCGATGGCGTCCTCCATATGCACCTGACCGACTTTGATCTCCTGCAGGCCTTCCAGAAGGGCATCCCAAGAGGAAGACGAGGAGTGGTGGTGATGATGGTGGTGGTGATGTCCGTCCAGTCGCGGGCTGCCCATTGCCGCTCCCGCCCCGCCGGAGTTGCTTCCACCCGCCGAGCCGGAAGTTGCGCTGGAGCACTCGTCGTCGCTGCCGTATTTGGGGCTGGAGACCAGCGTGGCGCTGCCACTCAGAGCTCTGGGCGTCTCCTCCGTGTGCCCATCCTCCAGAGTGTCCTTCAGGTGGGCGATGTTGTCAGCGCTGCCAAACTTGTTGCGGATGAGACTGGCGAACTCTCGGGGTTTTGAGACGACGGCGGTGTGCGTGAGTGCAGAGACTCCGCCCTTGACTTCTTTCACCACGCCCCCTCCAAAACCACTGATTCCCGCTCGCATATTGGCACGTACGTCCTTCAGCCCCTGCTGCATGTCCCTCAAGACGTCTTTGGGCTGTCGCGCAGGACCATTCTGCAGAACAGGGAATAGACGTCATTACTCTAGAACAGGGGTGTCAAACTCAATTCCTGGAGGGCCGGAACCCTGCAGAGTTTAGATTAAACTCTAATTAAACACACCTGATCTAACTAATCAAGTCCTTCAGACCTATTTGAAAACTACATGGTATGCGTGTTGGAGCAGGGTTGGAACAAAACTCTGCAGGGCTCCAGCCCTCCAGGAATTGAGTTTGAAACCCCTGCTCTAGAAGGATAGGCAGCATCAGTCCTGGAGTGCCGATGTTCCGCAGAGTTTAGCTCCAACCCTGAAAAAAACTCATCTGCCTGTTATACCATGTCCTAACTACACGTGACGCGACAAGATTCCAGCGACAAGCAGTTTGGGTGTCCACACCAGACGCGATAAGACTCAATCAAATATCACAGCCAATCAGAAGCGTGTGTGGGCGGAGCCTCTCTGAAAGCGCACTGCACTCGAAACGAAATTGATACGTTTATAATCTAATTCATAAATATTAAACCTTTTTAACATTATTAAATGTGCATACTGAGTGACTAATGCCATCTTTGTATGGAATACGCTTGTTTGTTTGCATTGTCTTAACGTACATCTTTGCTTTAATTTATTAACTATCTGTTGTTGCTTTTTAGTATGGCTATAAGGTGATGATATTCAAACTCACATTAGACACGTTTAACTTTGAATAAAGCACATAATCACCTGAGATTACTACTGTCATATAGTTTGTATATTGTTGTTCCAGCCGCGACATCGTGGAAATAGAAACCGTTTATAACATAGAAATTTCGCATGTCGCCGTCGCGGCTAGTTAGGACAAAAACTCAGATTAACATGGAAAAGATATCTTTTATCGCGTGTTGTGGCGTCGCGTGTAGTTAAGACACGGTGTTATGGGTGGGAATCACCAGAGGCCCCACGATACGATATTATCATGATACAATATTATTGCGATTTTAAATATATTGCGATAACCTGCAAAAATATATTGCAATTTATTACCTTTTTTCCAACTTTAAATGATGTCCCCAAAAGAAAACTTTGGCAACATCTGTTTTAACTAAAAATAAACATTTCTCAGTTTGTTCATCTCACTTCAATTTTATTGCTGCAGTGCAAAATGGGATTGTCATAAATGTTGTATGCACCTGGCAAACTCAACTATTTGTATTACAGTCTAGTCTAGTCCACCTTAATTAAATGTAAACAGGTATGCACTGCTGTGCTACTACAGGTATTTTGAACAGTGCAACTTGAACTTGTACTAAAAAGTTGTGCAGACCCTTCAGCAATTGGGGCATTTGAAAGTAAATTACTGGTAACACTTTATTTTGATAGTCCACTTCAGACATTCTACTAACACTAAGTAACTTTGCAACTACATGTCAACTAGCAGTCAATAGAGTATTAGTAGACTGTCTGCTTAATATCTTCTAACACTTTATATTGATGGGTCCACAACATACAACATGCTGACTATGAGAAACTTTGTAAGTACATGTCAACTTATTCTACTAACCCTAAACCTGTCCTAACAGTCTACTCTGAGAGTTAGTAGACATGTAGTTGCAAATGAAGTTAGTAGAGTATTAGTAGACTGTCTGCTTAATATCTTCTAACACGTTCTTTGTCAACTTATTCTACTAACCCTAAACCTACCCTAACCGTCTACTCTGAGAGTTAGTTGACATGTAGTTGACATGTAGTTACAAAGTTACTTGTAGTTAGTAGAGTGTCTAAAGTGGACTATCGAAATAAAGTGTAACCAAATTACTGTTAAATTTAAAATGAATAAATAACACAGACTTTAAACGCGGTTTTCCTGATAACTTTTCATCGATACAGTATTGCTGTGGAAAATATCGCGATACTATGCTGTATCGATTTTTTTAAATCGTCTTTCATGCCAAGAACTGCTCCTATTTTCTGCATAATGATGCATTTAAAAGTTAACGACCAAACGGATGTTTATAAAAGGTCACATTGCTGTTGCAGATGAAATATAACACAGATACCAGGTTAAATTACCAGGTTAAATGTTGATTATTAGTAACTCAAACCCCTTTATCTAAACCTCTCTACCTAACCGTCGATCGCGCACATTTGTAGTTTTATTCGTTTTTGTAGTTCTGGACCGAATCCTTTGCCAAAGCGCAATGGATTGTGGGCAATATTAGCCATTAGAGTGTGCACGGATCTACACTTCAAAAATTGAGCTGAAATAGTAGACCCAGGGGCACCTCTATGGTTTGTAGGCCCCCTGAACAGTATATTTACTCGGGGGGCCCCCCTCGGTAACAGCCGCGTTCCGGAGGGGGGGCCCCCTTTAACACCGGGCCCTTGGAATTGTCCTAACCCCCCCCTTACGGCACCCCCAAGTAGACTATCCAGAGACTTTTGGCATACTTTTTTCAACATACTATGCTTTGGGACACACTTATTCTATTCTCACATACTATTTAGGGTGGACAGTATGAACATTGGGACACAGGGTTAGTGATCCTGAAGACCTCGATTAGCTTTTTCAGGTGTGCTTGATTAGGGTTGGAGCTAAACTCTGCAGGACAGTGGCAATCCAGGACCGACGTTGCCTATCCCCGCTCTAGAAAATGCAGTTGGACAAAACGCACATGCATGTGAAATTACCTGCTCGATCTCTTTGAGTTTCTTGTGGTAGTGCTCGAGCTTCTTGTGCAAGTGTGCAATAATCTGCGCAGACTTCTGGTTCTTCTTCTCAAACACCTGTTTGATGCGCAACGCCTGCTGTTTGTCCGCATTGTGGGCCAGTTTGAGATACTCGGCCACATTATCGTCACGGGCCTCCTGTTCCACGCGGATCTGTTCGGTGATCTTCAGGATCTTCTGCTGCAGGTGTTCCAGCGCCGCTCGTGTTCTCTGGACCTCGCCGCCTGCCCCGTCTAACCCTGCCTCCACGCTGATGTTCCCGTCTGACCCGCCATGGCTCACGGAGGGCGGTAGACTGAGAGTGGACACTTCGCTTTTATCCAGCTGCATGCACACAATGAAAACATAAGTTGCGCTGTCATGCCACGTAAACATCTGATATGAAACCACACTATTTAACAGCTCTGTCATTTGAGTGAGTGGTCACGTCTGTTTACAAGCTGAACAAAAACTCCCACGCTCAGAGTGAGAGAGACGCGGCGTGACCCACTTTCGTTCTGAAAATATCTCTACGTGCACAACATCACACTAAATGTATAAACAATCTGAAACAGTAAGCGCATGTCCTCGGTGCACGATAGACAGCACACTGTAGGACAGTAACTATGCATCTGAAATGAATCATTCATAAATGCAACGTTGCAATTCACTCCCAAAACAAGCTGGATGAATGAATGACACGCACGATACAAAGCAAATCTCAACCTGCAATACCTCAACTGTAAACAAATAATCATGCATGACAAAATGCACACATGCATGAAAAGATGCATGGTCTGCATGTGTGTTCAGAGTCGCACTGACACAGCAGGGTTTCACGAGAGGTTACTGCAGGCCATGCATCTTCACATGCATGCAACCTGCACACATGGTATGCGTGTTTCTCTGAGACCAGGTTTGTTGTGTTACATACACATGCATGCACACACACGCAGCAGGGCTCCTCTAAAGGTTAGCGCAGTCCATGCATCTTTTAACGCTTGTGAATCTGAGTCATGTCACCTGCTGAGAGCATGCGCGTGTGTGTGCGATCTACAGGCTGCTGATGATGGACGCATTTAGAAAGTAGGTTGGAGCTGAGCGATGGGGGACAGCAAACACACACACACACACACGCATGCATGCAGCGTAAATCAGGGATGTGTGTCAGATGACAGTGGGCGAGTTAAACACATGAGAACAAATCTGCAGCTGACTTGTGACATGCAGAACAGCGTGTGAGAGAGAGACAGACGGGTGATGATGGATAGATGGATGGATGGATGGTACAACACAGGAACAGAAGATTAATTTGCGATAAATTACCATAGTCTTCAGTCCAGGGTGTGCAGCTTGACTGCAGAGACGTGTAAGAGGGCCATATCCCTCCTGTCTCTCTCTCTCTCTCTCTGTCTGTTCACCCCTCCCCTTCTCCTTTAGCTGTCTATCTCTCGCTCCAGTCTGTCATGGTTCATGCTAGAGTCAATATCGGCTGCGGTTTCGTGTCTCTCATCTTTGTCTCGCCTGTATCTCAGTATTCTCGTCTCTCCGGCCGTGTGTTTGTCTGAGTGTTTCGACGAGGCTGTGGAGCAGATGAGCAGAGGGGGAGGGGAGTTCAGCGGAGCATGCGTCACACACACACACACACACACACACACACACTGCAGCGCTTGCATACACACACTCACAGCTTAAACTGTCTATGTGTGTGTGTGTGTTTCACAGTGATAAACGCATTTTTAAACGCACATATCCATGTGTGGGGGGGGGGGGCCAGGACATGTCCCAAACAGACAGAGGGGCTGATGGGAAACGCTGATATCAGTCTCATAGCAACAAGCTTCATAACAACTGGGTCACTACGTTGAAGGTGTGCTACACACATAAACTCGAGCTACACACGTGTGACGCGTAGCTGAGGTTACTCTTTTCTTATTTAAAGGAATATTTTGCTTTAAATAACACAAATGGCTTCTCTAGCATTACAATAAGGTTGATTCGTCCCACGGTGCGCATCTGTTAACAAATGGGAAACAGAAATGCGCGTACAATGCAAAAATAAAGGTTTAAAATACGCTAACGTCAACATGAAATTTCGAAATTTATTGAATTAATTTATTTACTGAATGTTGCTGGTCTGATTGTGAACAATTGTTTTTCTAAAGACAAAATTCAAATTCAGAACTGGCTCCGCCTCCTTTACGTAACCCAAGCAACGTTAACGTTAAAAATGGTAACTAATAGTTGGATATCTATGAAGTCATTGTTTCCTGAATCTAGCTAATTAACGCAGTAATTTAACGCCATTTAATAAATTGCAATAAAGAAAAAAGCGTTAACACTGGGATACTTGTATTTTTAAATACAGGTTATTCGACATCACATGATGGAAGTAAAATTCAGTTTCACATTGACTTTTAACATAACACGTTAGCTTTATTTACTTGATTCACTTACCAGTCCAGAGAAAGTGTCGATTAGCACTACATTAGTAACACACTAGCAGAAAAACAGACCTAGAAGTACCCAACTAACAAAAATGTTCTAAAAACTTTTTGCTAACGTTTCCATTAAGTCCTGAAAATGTTATTTCTGATGTTCTGTGAATATTCGAAACATCCAGTTTTTAAAAAAAAAAAAATTTCTTGTTTATACAAAGGTCAAGAGAACAATCCATTTGATCATTTTGCAAACATTATGTGAATGTTAAATTTGAATGTTCTCTCAACGTTCTGAAACAAGCAGTAACATTTAAAAAACATGTTAGATGAACATCCAACCAATGTTTCAGAAACGGTTCCATGAATGATGTACGATGTTTTTATGCTAACGTTTTGAGAACATTATTAACGACCAGATAATTCTGAACAAACGTTCTATCAACGTTACTGTAAGAACGTTTGTTCATAACTTTGAGAGAACCTTGCAAGAACGTTCTGAAAACATTTCCTGTTAGGTGGGTAGTTTTATCACAAAATGCATGTTTTGTATAGACTCAAAAGATTGAATATTTAAAGGAATTATTTATTTGTAGAAATCAATTGCACATGCCAGAGTTTCTCTTTATAAACAGCTTTATTACAAGAACAATTACATGTCAATCTACAATACAATATTTATCCGTAAAATAAATACACCATATATTCTGAGCTCTTTAACAATAACAGACCTGTGCAAGATACACTACTCAAAATAATAAGTGCAATTTTCCATCGACGGCGAATAATCCGGATATTAACAGGATATTTACAGACAGGTCGCAGAAATCTACAAGTATCAGGATATGAGAATGATCACAAAGCATGAACAGATTCAATTAACGTTTGCTGGAATGCGAAACTTGAGAAACTGAATATATCCAGCATCTCAATTAGTGAATGTGGAAAGCTCAGAGTTCGTATCTATGATTGCGTTTATTTCAAACAAACGTTACTTGTATTTCAGTGACTACAAGTAAAACAGAGTGTTTGTAAATATGCTGTAGTTGCAGTGGCGTTCACGGAACACGAGCAGAACCAATTTCTGAGCAAAACATTCATATGCAATTTACAAAGAATTCGTAGAGAATTCATTCCGCTCGTGTTTCACGAACGACGCCAAGTGTTTGTCAATAATTTTACGTTGTAAAAACGTAATTGTAGCTCCTTTATGAGAGTTGTGCGAGAACATGCTGTCAGCTTAGAAGGGTTAGAATTATAAATAACTTTTATATGTAAAAAAAACAAAAACACATTTGGCACCAAATGTTAGTTTTTAAAATTAGCTACAAGTAGGGCTGGGCCTTTTCATGCGCATCTCGTCAGTAAAGCCGCTCCATCTGTTAGTAGTAAATCTCCAGCACGTGCGTTCAGATGGAGCGGCATTTACTACACAGAGCCGTAGTTCACCGACAAGCTACACAAAATCGCAGGCGATTCATTGCCGATTTTAAACGCGATTTTATGTAGCTTGTCGGTGAACTACGGCTCTGTGTAGTAAATGCCGCTCCATCTGAAAGCACGTGCTGGAGATTTACTACCAGAAGTGGCTTTACTGACGAGATGCGCATGAAAATCGCATTCTATTTTTTGCACAGCCCTAGCTACAAGTATTGTGCAATAAAGCAATACATTTGTACACATGGACACTGAAAAATCAGTCGTATTGTTCATAATGAAATTCTTTCGTAATAATTTTGTGGTCCCGCTGAGAGACAAATTCTGAAATCTTTCCAGAATCTTTTATCCCCCTCCACAGTCGATTTAAAGGGATTTTAACGCATTTTCTTTAACGGAAAATTGTATAAATGTAAACCATTGACATGCAAACATAAACAGGAAGAGGAAATGACAGAGAAGCAATGTCCTATTAATGAATAACATTCAAAAAACATGATGGAAGATGGAAAATAAGTTCTGGAACAGTCTGTTGCGTGTTTCTTGCGTTCGGTCCGGACCAAACGGCGCAACGGAAAAATGCTACGAATGATTGTTTCGAGTTCTTGAGAGGATGAAGGTAGATGATGGCGTAGAAAAACAGTGTTCCTCCTATGAGGACAAGAGTCCAGACGAGACACACTAGCGTTCCTGAGTGTGTGTGTGTGTGTGTTATTGTCCTGATTTGCGGGGTGTAGCCACCCCTCTCTTCTTCGCCAGGTAGAAATCTGTTTGGATAAGAGAGAGAGAGAGAGATGAAAATGCTTCTATTATTAGTCAAACTCTCATGCACGCCTTCGTTTAGCAGACGTTATTACTCAACATCTCTCAAAACGTCCAAGTCATATCTCACTCCTGTTCTAAAACTATTACATTTAAAACTTTAAAAATACGTCACACTACTCGCATGTTAATTAAAGAGCCTTCTTTCAATTCTGATGCAAAAACAAATCTCATTATGCATTCAAATATTTAGCTTTGTGACTTTCTTTTAGTCTTTCCCTCATATTAGATAAGAATTAGCTGATAATACTATGATTATTCAAATCAGCATAAATTACAGATTGTTGTTATTGTTACTTAATAACTAAAAATACAAAAAATAATAACATACATAAAATTAAAAAGTGAAATATATATAAAAAAAATATATAAAATATGAGATGAAACAGAAATCTAAAATAAATATTTAATTAACTAAAAATGAAATAACTACATGTAGTAATTTAAACAAAAAAAATTATAAAAATTACTATTTTAAAACTAAAAATGAAAACAATTAACATGTCACTGCATTGTGCATTATTCACATGATAATTAAAAACAATTTTCTCTGAATTCTGATATAAACATTTTTTTTTTTTTTAAACTCATGCATCCAAATAGTTTAGTTTTCGAATCTTCTTTTAGTTTGTTTCGTAATGACACCAAATGAATTACATACCGTTGGTACTGTTACTAAAACTAAAACTACAAAAAGATTTCTGGTGATTGAAATAGATCTGAAACAAATAAAAATAAAATACAAATATTAGATGAAAAACGTCAAAAACTTGCTTAGCGTTGGATACTAAATTAAATAAACATGTTTGAGTTTAAATACTAAAATGACTAAAACCAACACTGAAATACACAAACAGAAATACTAAAGGCTTTGATTTAAGTTTTAGTATTTTAGTTAAATTAATTGCTAAATTAGTAGCCTATTTGTTGAAATTTACTACATTTAAGAAAACAAGTGAAAATTAAAAATAAATACGAAAACTTAAAAAATAAAGCGAATTTAAAATAAACGCACAAATTTTACAATTCGAATAACATTTGAATATTTCGTTCTTTTTAACTGCTTATTTCCGAGTCCCAAACATAACTTCCGTTTTCTTTGTGCGGCATTCGAACAGATTTTTGAGATTCTTTAATGAATGCGTCTGTTTGGCTCCGCCCCCCTCACCTGTGATATTGGTCTGTTTCCTCTTCAGCTCGGTCCTCTTTTCTGGCGTTTTCTCCACGTTCTGCGGGACAATGCTGTATCTCTTCGGGGTTCTGGGGACGAGGTCCGGCGCGGTACAAGACGGGCACCTTGAACCCGGACACGCCCTCCCACTGGAAGTCTCCGCCCACAAGAGGCGTCTCAGTGGCGAAGTCGAGCCCCAGCGGTGAGACGCCTCCTCTAGGTCTCTCCTCAGAGCGTCGTGGTACTCCAGCTGGAGCTGCTCGCGATCCACAGGACCGAAGAGGGTCCACCGCGCCACGCCGTTCCCGAGAGCCCGCAGGATCCGCTTGTGCATCACCATCACCTCAAGCTGCATCAGAAAACACATGATTACAGTCGCTGAACTCTGTCAGACTGCATTCAGTGGCTCTGTATTTAAGGGCTGAAGTGAGTCATGATCGCAGGGATATGTGAGGGCATGTTCCTCCGGATCACACCTTTGACCAGCAGAAGGAGCCGCACATAATGATAATCATTTCCCTAAATCAGCGGTGCCCAAACTCGGTCCTGGAGGGCCGGTGTCCTGCAGAGTTTAGCTCCAACTTGCCTCAACACACCTGCCTTCACGTTTCTAGTATGCCTAGTAAGAGCTTGATTAGCTGGTTCAGGTGCGTTTAATTGGGGTTGGAGCTAAACTCTTCAGGACACCGGCCCTCCAGGACCGAGTTTGGGCACCCATGCCCTAAATCCTCATTACGGTGATGCAAAAAAAAATTCTCTTTATGCCTCCAGATGTATAAGTTTTGTGACTCTAATTTTTATTATAATTATTACTTTTTAATGTTAGATCAAAATTGCTCTTTTTAAATCGGCATAAATTACTGATCGTTGTTATTGTCGCTTCTTACATTTCTGGCGACTGAATTAGATCTGAAATAAAATGTTAGATGAAAAACCTGACTTTTAAAAACGTAAACTTAAAAATGTTGCCTTATGCACGAGTTTAAGTTGAAGTAACAAAATTACTAAAAGGAAATAAAATAAATTAAATCTACAAATAATTTTAACAAATTGACAAAAGGACATAAAGTAACAAAATAAAATATTGAATATAATACAATATTAAATAAACTAAAATAACTAAATATACTAATATTTATATAATAATATTTTAGCTTTTTTTCCTTGCTTATTTCCAAATCTTACACACACATACACTCATATATATATATACATACATACACACATATATACATATATATATATATATACCCCCCCCATGTATGACTGATGTCTCACTCTCACTTTACTCGCTATTTATGAAATGTTCTTGTGGGTCTAGAGTATTCATACAAAACAACTGCTAAACTAACTGTACGTTTCGCTAACATAATACTCGATTCAATACAATAAACGTAAAGTAATAACTGTGACATTCTTACTATGACAGCACTGACAAATCAGCATCTCACACTCGAGCCCGAAGTTCACACCTGTCATATTTTACTTAATAAATCAATAAATAATCAATTAATTTCCTATAATAAGATTTTCACTGCACTTCTGATTCCCTCTTGGTTAATATGAAGGAGTGTGCAGCTCGATTCAAAACAGCGGCGGGAAACCGAACGCTTGTTTGATTGGTCAGAAGTGACACGGACACGCCCACTCTCTCCTCAGTCCACGTGACCGTGAAGCTCGTGTATGCCGGTGGAAACACGTTGCGATCAGGTACACTTCACAATAACATTCAATCAGCGGTCAAAAATCACGAGCCACGATGATCCGTTCAACTTAACGTTACAGGGAACGTTTTCGGTTAGAGTTCGTCTTGAGATGTTAGTTTACACGATAATTGTTATTTTAAAGAAACACTAAGAGACTTAGTTTTATAATTAGCTTGCATAGACCGAATCCAACAGGTGTTGTGATAAACGATAACAGCGTACAGGCAAACGTTATGAACGTGCAAAATGATGTAAACATGCAACTTGCATGGTTTTTTAGCTTCTGGAGCGTGTGGAAAAGTCAACCAAGTAAACTCGCTGTTTGCAGGGTAATAGCCTACGGCGGTATTGAGTTTAAAACAAAACTTAAGAAGAGTCTTGAGGCGAAAGCGTCGCGTAACTCAGTTCCAGACTAAAGGAACCGTTGATTCCAGACGTTCTGCTGCTGCTGACTGGACTTTCAGAACTTTTATAAACTCCGGTGGGCGGGGCCTCGTGAGCCAGCACGTGAGCACGTGTGCAGCGTAAACGCGCCTTCATCAGGACATTCCAGTTGATCGGTGGCACAGAACAGAACAGAACCTTCAGAACGGAGCGGACCCGCCCAAAACAGACCCGCCGCTATGTTTACACGGTCGCGTGATATTATCTGTTTTAAGTGTTTATTTTCTTTATTTTGTTGTATAGTAAAAAATAAAAAAAAAATCAAATTATTACGTTAAAAAGGAAAACAGTACAGTTCTTTAACATACTGAATCTAGGCTACATTGCAAGAAAGGATGGATCTTATAAAATAAAAACTGTACGCATTTTTCTTTTTTTATTTTAATTATCCAGAAACAGCTTATGCCTATCTTATTCTCAGCTTCCTGTGTTTTTAATGTATCTCTATGCCTTTTTTTTGTTAGTTTTGTTTCTTAGATATTTGTCTGTTAATGAATTAAACTGAAATTGAGATTTATACATCATCTGAAAGCTTAATAATAATAATAATGAGCTTTCCATTGATGTATGGTTAGGCTACATTGCAAGAAAGGATGGATCTTATAAAATAAAAACTGTACGCATTTTTCTTTTTTTATTTTAATTATCCAGAAACAGCTTATGCCTATCTTATTCTCAGCTTCCTGTGTTTTTAATGTATCTCTATGCCTTTTTTTTGTTAGTTTTGTTTCTTAGATATTTGTCTGTTAATGAATTAAACTGAAACTGAGATTTATACATCATCTGAAAGCTTAATAATAATAATAATGAGCTTTCCATTGATGTATGATTTGTTAGGATAGGACAATATTTGATACAACTATTTGAAAATCTGGAATCTGAGGGTGCAAAAAAATCTAAATATTGAGAAAATCATCTTTAAAGTTGTCCAAATTAAGTTCTTAGCAATGCATATTACTAATTAACAATTAAGTTCTTTACTTAATATCCTAATGATTTTTGGCATAAAAGAAAAATGTATAATTTTGACCCATACAATGTATTGTTGGCTATTGCTACAGATATACCCCAGCGACTTCAGACTGCTTTTGTGCTCCAGGGTCACTAATTAAAGAGGGTCCCTGAAAAATAATGAAGCCACGCCCACTTTTTCTCTCAAGTGAGAGTCTCTCAATAGCTCAGTTATTATTACTCAAACTATTCATCTACATCAAATAAAACTTCAATGGAATCTGAGGGTGCAAAAAAATCTAAATATTTGAGAAAATCATCTTTAAAGTTGTCCAAATTAAGTTCTTAGCAATGCATATTACTAATTAACAATTAAGTTCTTTACTTAATATCCTAATGATTTTTGGCATAAAAGAAAAATGTATAATTTTGACCCATACAATGTATTGTTGGCTATTGCTACAGATATACCCCAGCGACTTAACACTGCTTTTGTGCTCCAGGGACACTAATTAAAGAGGGTCCCTGAAAAATAATGAAGCCACGCCCACTTTTTCTCTCAAGTGAGAGGAGTCTCTCAATAGCTCAGTTATTATTACTCAAACTATTCATCTACATCAAATAAAACTTCAAAATTAATACTTAACACAATGAAGCACACAGTTCACTGTACTATAATCCTACATGTCCAGTAGTACCAGAACTAGAAGTGAGACACACACACACACAAAGTAATACGACTTTTTATCTCGCAGTTCAATCAGAAACTCGCAATTCTGAAGCAAAAAGTCACATTTGTTAAATATAAACTCGCAATTGCAAATGGAAAAAAAATGTAATTGCGAGATAAAAGTCGCAATTAGGCCTACTTTTTTAATTACTACTTTTATTTTCACAATTACTTTTTTTTACTGTTACGTTGTTTCGTGCTTGAAAGAACAAATAAAAAACAGAATTGAGAGATATAATTGCAATAAAAAAAAAAAGTCAGAATTCTGGGTTTATATCAGAACTGGCTTCCATATAAGTTTGAGAGTTCAGAGTACGATAACTAGCTATCATTCATGAAACAATTATCCAGATTAACGGATAACAGAAAGTAGAAGAAATCGTGGCCACAATTTAATTCTCATTACCGAAGTCATAGCGACTTTGTACTAAAATCATATTTATTAAGTCCCTCATTTTAGTTAAATACAGGTAATAGTTAAAATACAAACTAATAACTCTAGAAACTAATAAAAAAACATGGCCCTTTAAGACTTGCACTCTATTAGTTTTCTAACTGCTTGTTTTCTATCAAAAAGACCGCTAACACTAGCTTTCTCTGTTCTTTTTCTATTGTTTTCTTTTTTTATCGATTATATAATTAACAAAAAAAAATAAAAAATATTTTGAAGTGTTTTCTGTCCATAATCAAGAGGACCATGATATTACATTTGATAAATTACATTTTTGTAAAGGAGAACCAAATTTATTGTTTTGCATTTGAAACATATCTAAACAATAGCTGCCCTAATTTAGAGCCAATAAAAACACAAATATCAGTCTTGGCTCACTAATGACTGAGTCACGTATTCAGCAGGAAAGGCCTTTCATTGGTGTCAAGTGATGTGGTTTAATTAATGAGCGCTCTTCATTAGCGTGTTTACTGTTTTGGCGGTGATTAAAATGACAGAATTTTCATTATACCTTTAAGTACTCATGAAGGATTTGAACCGGCAACATTGAGGTTATATCAGATTCTTTTAACCTCTACACCTTAGCAAACCGCAATCCATCAGCGCTTGCTTTCTTTAAAAGTGCGTTATGTAGATTTAAGAACACCTTACAGTAAGGTTTTGTTGGCATGAACTAAGAATAAACAACTTTTACAGAATTTATTAATTTTAATTTCTACATTCACATAAAACTTGTGCATGTTAACATGAATGCTCTGTGAACTGCACTGACAAGAAAAACAAATCACTCAGTAATTGCAAGTAAATTTCATGATTACAAAAAAGTTAAGTACCACACTGAATTAGATGTGAAATTTTAAAATAGAAAACCTAAGTATTTTATTGTAACACGAATTCCAATCTTTTTTTTTTGTAGACTACGAAAAATCATTTTTACAATGTACATAAACAAGGAATAGTATTTTTTACTATTTAGCGAAAAAAAAAATGCTGTAAAATCTATGCTAGTCATCTGTTAAGAGTAAAGACACTTCACAAACTGTCACTATATATTTCACTGTAAAATGGACTATTTAAAACTACTATTTTAAAACAGAATTTTTAAATTCATAGAGACGAAAGCATTTTTGTAATGAGTTTTAATTCAGTTCAACATTACAAACAGTACAAACACTACAAGGAGAAAAAAAAACAAGAATGAAAGCTGTTCTGGATTCCACCCCCTGCTGCCGTCATAGTGCCGTTACATCTCCCCCCTCTGATCGCACAGAAAACACAAACACGGTCGAGCTCAGCGCAGCAGGACCAATCACATTCACCGCCAAAAAAACACAAAAAAAATAAAAACAAGAGTCTTAAAAAAGTGTGAGATGGAATGCCGTCGCATTAAAACTGCAAACACGCACAACCGCAGCTACAGAAGAAAACAGAACTGCTAAAATAATGTTAATAAAAAAAAAATACATGGGTGACTCAGTCTTTTCAAAGTTTTTCAACATGTTGGATCTGTGCCGAGGTCTCAGTCACAACGTTCTTCTCAGTTCATTTCCGTTCATTAGATCTGGAACGACTGTAAACGAGAAGATCAAGCACGTGCGACGTCATTTCTCACAGGAATAATATTTCGTTAGTTGTAGTAGTGTGAAAATGTTGCTATTCTGAAACAAAGTTTAGGTAGCAACGTTCTTCTGGAACAACACCAACATCTATGGTTAACATCCTTAAGTGTAAAATTACAGTAAAAACCACAATTTAAACAACTTCACAGTTTAAATAAGTTTCGACAGTTTTATACAATGATAAACCTCTAATTTCTATGGAGGTCCATTTGCGTCACTGAATAAAAAGATTTGAAGTTTTCTCGCAAAGAGTCAGAATGGCAAGATGCAAACTAACAATTGTGAGAAAAAAAGTCTGAATTGCGAGATCTAATCTAGAAATTGCGAGAAGAGTCAGAATTGTGAGATAAAACTCGCAATTGTAAGTTTATGGGCCAGTTGCAACTTTAGACTGGACTTTCAAGTTAGTCATCTAATTTTTTCTAAGACTATTCATAATGTTTTTAAATTCAGTTACACAAACGCATAGATTAGTCTAAGTTAATTCCAAAAATAAGATGGATTACTTATTGGCTAACTGCTAATTGGTCAAACTCATACTTAAGACACTGTCTTAACATAAGGGCTAAGTTAATGCAACTGGCCCCATATCTCACAATTCTGATAAAAGTCAGAATTGCGAGATACAAACTTGCAAATGAGATGCACGTTTATATCTCACAATTCTGGCTTTATTTAATGCAAATGCGACTAAGTTACATACATAATTGGTCTAAATAAAAACGGTAGATGGGTTGAATGAAAATACAAATTGACTGTCAGTAAGTGGCACTTGTGGAGTGCAAAAATACGGCGGTTTCCTGTTAACGCTTGTAAACACTATTTATTAGTCTTTATCTATGGTACGGAGGTAAAAATAACATTTGCCTAAATGGCTTACATCAACGCCATAACAGGTTTGGCCGAAAATTCGCAGAGACTCTTACCTCCTTGATCGGGAGAAAGATCGCGAGAGCCTGTGGTTCCTGTCACGAGACGGCGATCTCTCCCTCCGGCGCTCTCTAGAAAGAGATCTAGACAGAATCCAGAACAACACGTTGAGAAAGCGCTCACAAAGCCACGCGGGAAAGCTGCGAGAACCGACGGACTCTTACCTGCTGCGACTACGACTGAGGCTCCTCCTCCTGGGCGATCTGAAGAAGAGAAGAGGCAAAGCGAGTGAGCGCGCAATCGACACACGGACGCACCTCACAAGCCCTGCAACTAACAGTCAAACGCACTCGTCACCGCCCTGATACAGGGGTGGAGTGGAGACCTCGCAACACATGAGGCTTCAGAGAACCTCCCTTAATAAGAGCGTTACGCTCCAGTACAGTGAGCTACAAAAGTAGTGCCCTAGCAGGAGAAACTCAACAGAAACGCACTGCAATCAACCCCACAGAATGAAGACAGTGAAAGAAAGCAAGAGCAGCTCTCAAAGCCCACGCTGCTTCTGTAACCTGAACCTCCGTTTGGGCTCCCCATCAGTCTGCTTGCCTAAGCTTAACAACGTCTGTCCAGATCTCATACCAACCCTGTTTGTTTCAACTCAACAGGAGATTTATCCTCATCTTACATCTGTATTCAGCATTAAACTGTATGAAGCAGGAAAAACTTACTAGTCTTTTCGGTTTTCAACAAGCTAGAAAAGGCGAAGGGGAGGACGGCTGGCGGCCGGGGAGCAGAATTGGCGGGAAAGTGCAGGCCAGATGCTGCGAGCTGATTAGCTGGCTTGCGGATGGGGGCTGGATGTAGTGGATTTTTCCTGCTTTTATTGGTTAGCCGAAGGCTGTTGCTGGTGGTTGGTAGTGTAGACATTGGGGAACGTAAAATGCTGATTGGTCAGGAATGTGAAGTGGGCCACTGCCGATTGGGTGTTAAGGTTGGAGGAGGAGGAGCTGACAACGGCATGCTCAGGAACCAATGGGCTGGTGCGAGCTGATGACTGGCAACGCCTGGGTCATGTGACACCAACCCAGCCAGCTGATTGGGGCACGCTGGTCACATGATGCTGAAAGAAGACTAGTAGACTGACTCAGAGGGTGGTGAGGAGAGGCATGGTGGTGACTCTGCAACGGGGTTCATTTTTATTAATATAGATAAGAAAATAAAAACAACCTTCATGTTAAGTCAACAAAAGATTGCATATTCCAACCATTACTAGAGCCGAGCAGATTACTGAACACTAGCGACTGGGCTTTGACGTCCAATTCGTAAATTAGCAAAATTAACGTTCGGGTCAAGTTTCAATCCAAAATCAAGAGAAACAAAGCCTATCTTGAAGATACTGATGGTTTTCTGCACTGAGACTTAGGGACACTTAATCACATTTTTATATAACGTTACCTCATCAATCACCGCTGTAATTCTCATTACCATCATATGAGGGTAAAATTATCCTTCACAATATATATTACGTTAAATTTGTTTGCAATGCGTTTATTAACAGGCTAATCGGCATTTGCACAAGATAATTCAACCCAATCTCATGGGAAAATGTAACTTGCACAAAAACAGACGATTTTTAGAAAAAAAATAATTTATGAAACACAAATTAGCCACCAATTCAACAAAACGTAAAATTAAATTTGTGCTGGATGATTGTTACAGTGTTGGGATTTTGCATGCCAAATCACAATGCAAAAAAACAAGCCAAAAGCGTTTAATTTTGGAGTGAAACCTAACCCGGACATTTTCTCATGGAATTAACCTAATAATCACTTACTGGTCTGCATTTCAACAAAATATCAGAATTTGAGAAGCCCAGTCAATCATTGTTTAATGGTTATCAATGACAATGAAGATGGAGGAGCAAAAGATCTCCAGCAGACGCTCGTCAGAACCGGGACACCCGGCACCGGCGGAGCCTCCAGGACTGGCGGGAGGGGCAGAATCAGGTTAGTTTCCTCTGGAACACAACCTACGGAGAGACAGCTGAGCGGGAAAACAGGTTTACCTGCGCCTGGGGGTGGGGCTGCTGCGCCTGCGGTAGTCATCGCGTGGGCGTCGGCTCCAGGACGGAGGCGGACCCCGGCTACGAGAGCGCTTCTCGCCATTGGACAGCTCCACTCTCACTCGGCAACCGCAGAGGGTCCTGCGTGACGACGTCGACAACGGATCGGTTAGCTCAGAAGTCGTTGGGTAATCGCTGATGATTAGCGTTATAATCCACACTCACCGTCCGTCCAGCTCTCTGACGGCGTCCGTGGCATCGCGAGGGTCCTCAAACTCAACGAACGCAAAACCGGGAGGGTTCCTGGCCACCCAGACGCTCCGCAGGGGTCCGTAATAGCCGAACGATCTCTCTAGTTCGGATTTGTTCCCATTATTTCCCAGATTTCCAACGTACACCTTACAGTCCAGAGGGCAGTCGCGATGCATGGCTCAACCTGCAAAACGAGAATTCCCATCAACCTCCAGCAGATATAATCAAAAACCAGTGACACTACACACGTAAACATTAACGAAACACTTAAAAATGGACAATACAATCACATGTGTTGGCCATCAACCGTCTCTAGCGTATCAGTTTCCAACTAATTTCAACAACAAGGCTTTATACCCGCCTATCTCTCTCAATGTTGAATGTTGTCTTGCCATAACCAATTACCGTTTATCTGCATAACCAATGCATTGATAGCTTACCTGGATACAAAGATACAGACCTTTTAAGGTGTCTTCACACAGCCAAGTTAAGGCTGCTCTACGCCGACTCAGAATTCAGCATAAAGATGCAATTTTGCATAAAAGCCAAATTGAATTATGCCTACTTTAGACCCACCTCAGCTCTGTGTATTAAAGTATACAGTTGTGTTTGCAGTGTAAAAGCCACATCTGAGCAACATTAAACAGTGTAAAAACACCTAATGCCACTTCAAAAGCACTTCTGTGGTGTATATTTGGGATGAGTGTTACGAAAATTAACCATGGTTTTATTGTAGTAAAAGTGTAGTAACCATGGTTTTTGGGCGTATTGATTACCATTTGTATAACCACAGTTCTACTACAAATACCATGGTTAAACTATGGTTATAGTGTAGTAAAACCATGGTTAATTTGTGGTTACCATGATTTAACTATAGTAACCATGTGTTTTTTTTTTTAGTTTGAGTTCCCATTAGGCCAAACTCTTTAATTTCATATAATACTAAACTACCATGTTAAGTAACATTAATCTAGAAAAACGCCCAAATAAAACCACACAAGAAACAACAGTAATTATGTAAACAGAGCGTCTTCTGCTTTTGTTCGCGGCTCAAAATGGCGCCTGGCGTTCACACGCGACTGCACACAAACCACTGTGAAGCACAAGCCATCTCTTTAACGGGTAAAACAAGCTGGAGCTGCTGTAAATATAATTAAGATTGCTGTTAAGCTAATACATGTAATTAAAGACTCGCAGTAAGCGGCTAACCGCTAATCCGGGTCAACAGTAAAATGGCGCCTGCACAAAAACGCAAATTAAGCTTTAAAACGCAATTCCGTCTCTGAGCGTTCGCAATTAAACATCACAAAACAACATAATCATGCGCACTGGAAAATAATAAAAGCGAATAAACGCAGATTTACCGTGAGTTTCGCGTGTTTCTGACCGTGTGTGTCGGATTCCTGGATCAGATCCGCTCCGAAATGGCGCAGCGCGGAAATGCGGACGCACGCTCGAGGGCGGGGCTTCTTCTTCTTCTTCTTCTTCTTCTTCTTTTGTGTTTAATGGCGGTTGGCAAACCAGCTTAAGGTGCATTTCCGCCACCTACTGGGATGGAGTGTGAGGCCTCGATGAACGAACATGTTATATACTACTAATATAATAAAAATAAATAAAATAAAAAACCTAAATTCTTCTAATCAAATCTGTATCTCTCAGATATTGCCAGGATATTTAAAATGAAACCGCGCAATTGCTACTACAAACTACCGCTGGAAAACCGCGGACTTGGCAACACTGCGAAGTTGCGCAGGCGCTGTGAGGGGGAAACAGGGAAACTGAATTCACCGGAACACCGGCAATTTTTCTTCATCAAAATGTACCATTACAGAAAGACTGTCCATCCTCTCTTTGTCTCGGGTATATTTCAGCCTCCTCGCATCTATCACTTTTGCTCCTGAAATGCTTTTCTTAATCGTATCTATTGATACATTCGTTGGTATTCCAGTAATAACTCCTCTCATCCATTTCTTTTCTCCCATAACTTGACTAGTAACCTTTTGCCCTAAAATAGTCTTAATCCCTAGAGCAGCCTTTTGTTGTTTACTGTCTTTGCAGAAAATTATCATTTTTCCATCTCGCAACATCTTAGCACTTTCAATATTTCCTACCATTTCCTTCAGTGACTTAGTCAATTTCAAGGGATTCAAACTACTTGCTTCTTCCGACATAAACTTCACCAATACCTTAAACTCCTCCTTTCTTGTTCTCATCTGATGACATTCTCTCTCACTTTCTGTTCCTGATGTTTGGCTCCAATCTTTCCTTCTTTTCCGCTTTTCTACTAAAGTCCACTTACTACTTTTGTTTCTTTCATTTCCCCCCGCCATCTACATCCTCCAAATCCAGATCACTTCCGGACTCTACTCCACTTCCGTCCATCTTGGCCTCAGTCACAACCCAGTGTCGCCAACCACAGCCGTCCGTCCCTCCGATTACGTGTCTGAAAAGCCCTAAATGAGTTTATTAATCACGCAATGCGATTAAACAAAACTAAACTACGTGTTTTAAGCAGAATATACACATTTTAAATATAAAAAGCCGCAGCGTTGTTGTTTTTGATAGAATGTTGATCAAACACGACTGATGTGATAAGTCAGTCAATGGCTATAACTTCCTCAAAAAAAGAAAGCTATTCTTGAAGAAATAGCTCACCTTAATGGAGATATTTTGCTGTAGCAACTCTCTTTTGTTGGTTTTGTGTAAGGAAGCACTGACATTGATTATGAGATCGACAAAAACCAACTGGGTTTGCTGTTATTCATGTCAAAAATTAACCATGGTTTAATTATAGTACAAGTGTAGGAACCATGTTTTTATTTGGTGTATTGACTATAATTTGTATAGCTACAGTTTAACTACAAATACCATGGTTAAACTATGGTTAGTGTAGCAAAATCATGGTTAATTTGTGGTTACCATGGCCTTTATTTGTAGCAAAACCATGGTTAATTTTCATAAGGGCCAACGCAGTGCATCTTGACATGCTAAATTTGGATTAAAAAGGAACATTGTACCATAAATTTGGGGTTGTTCCTCACAAAAACCAATCATATGACTCACAAGACTTGGAACATAGTGCTACTTTAATTACTTTAATGAAGTCTACTTTAGCTGCGCTTTAATTAGACCTCAACATGCTATGGCTGCCGTAGACAAACATTCTTCAAAACATCTCCTCTTCTGTTCTACAGAAGAACGTAAGTCATTGAGATTTGGAAGAAAATGGTGTAAATGATGACCATTTTTGGGTGAGCCATCCATGTGAAGTAGTTTTGTGGGTTTGTTGTCAACTGGGCGGTTGCTAATCAGAGATGTTTTACTTTGCAGGAATCATCATCGAGGTTCCCATCAAGCGCTCGCATTTCTCAGCGTTAGAAACCACATCCGAGACGTGTTGCTAGGGCTGTGAGAGTCTTCAGCGATGCTGCTGATGTGGAAACACGCCGGTGGTAATGCTTAGATTCGAAGTTCTAACGAAAAGGCATTTTAACTAGAACGCTCGTTATGAACGCCAACGGCTTTATCGACTGGGACTTTTCATTTAGACAGTTTTTAACTCTCAAACCTCTCCAATTCTGAGACTCGTCTTCATGTTTTCCCCTGTTTCTAGTAGAAAACACTCATCTCGCTGGCTTTCTCAGCAGATTCACATTTCTGAGGAGAAACTGAAAGCCAAAACACCTCAAATCTTAATCCCAGGCTGTGAGCTCAGTGAGAACGGCAAACCTGTGAACGAGAAATGGAACGAAACCCAAAACAACCATTGATCAGTAGTTTGACGCATCCATTATAAATGATTTTGTGGAAGCAACTAAGGCATATCTGCATGATAATTGGGACTCGAGGAGGAGGAGGGGAAGTTGTGAGGTCACTTCCTGTGTTGGGGACGCCAGGGGTCTATATAAGCCCTGAGACCTGACCGTCTGTCGGTCAATCTTCTGCAGGAGAGCAGACGAGAGAGAGACCACACTCAGTGAGTACTGCTGGAGGAAGTTAGTCGATTCATGAACTGACGGATTTGTGTGTGAAGTTTTGTTCTGATGATGGTTCGTGTTTCTGCTCTTCAGCTCGAGGCGTTTCAGTGTTTTTGCAGATGATGTTGAAGACGCAGAGATCTCAGCAGCGTGTCGCTCTCATGATACTGATGGTGGTCGCAGCCGTACAGAGTCAGGAGAACGAGAGGTTATCTATCTAACTAACTATCTGTTGATTAATCTATCTATCTATCTACCTATCTATCTATCTATCTATCTATCTGTCTGTCTGTCTGTCTGTCTGTCTATCTATCTATCTATCTATCATCTGTCTGTCTATCTATATCTATATCTATATCTGTCTGTCTGTCTGTCTATCTATCTGTCTGTCTGTCTGTCTGTCTATCATCTATCTCTCTATCTATCTATCCTCAAGCAGTTTTCCTGTAATAATTGCTCTGCAGCAGGCGTGCGGTCACAGAGCATCAGCTGATGCATGATCGTGGTCGCTCCATCCAGAGTCTGAGGAGGTTGATCTGGCTGTCCAGCGCGATCGAGGGGCTTCACACCGCGCAGACCCGCACACTGAGCGCCGGCGAGCCAGACAGCAGGTGGCGCTCTCAGCTCGGGAAAGAGCACAAGAGAGCGCTGGAGACGCTGCTGGGCGACATGTACCGACCTCACCTCACCGCTGCGCTCGGAGACCCGAGAGAAATAACATCATCACAGATATACATCCCATCTGATGTCCGGCCAAAACTCATCTATAATGAGGCGCAACGTTACCCAACAAAACTAGATCGCTGTCATTATGATCAACGAAACACGCTAGTTTTGTAAAGATAGATGGATTGATTATAACGTAAGCGATGTAGTTGTGTTTCTCCATCTGCGCAGACGCAGAACTGCTCTCCTGCATTCCCGTGCTGTGTAAATCTGCCTGTAAGTCTTTAAAAACTTATATTGACGACATATAAAATCGGTTTAGTGTGCACCATGCTACTTTGAAATACACCAGGTAGTATGATTTTCACTATGACTGTATTTACTTACACACGTGCAGAAACATATTAATATGGTACTTTTTTGGGTGGAAGAATTCCTGGTGTGGATTTATTTATCGGATGTCTTGGTATGTTTGCTTGGACGGGTTTTAATATCTAGTAAATCACTCTTGCTATTATATTTATTTATATGGACGACTATAAACATCGTATTTTTGATGTGTGTGTGTGATTAAAGATGCTTTTAAGTAAACTGCTGTCTCATTTCGGATTAAACAGTTCAAATGTGGTGAAATTAATTTTGTGTTCGTAAGTAACACATAAAACAAAACACCGCACACCAAAACAATAGAGTTTTATTCGTTTCCCAAAATAGTGAAAGCTACTAGTAGTTCCCCGTGCAATATTTTTATTTATTTATTGCTTGCACGATATTTCCAACTATTTCATATACAGCTGCAACATATTTTCAGTTTACTTTGTGTTAATACAAAACCATATTCCACAGTGCTCAGTATGAATTTGTACCAGCGTGAATATAAATTGATAAATGAAGTGAAGCTGAAGTTCAGAATATAAACTGCATGAAATAAGAAACGTGTCGCACCAAAACAACATACACTGCAAAGGGACTCATTCAAATATAAAACGAATTATTAAAAAGTATAAATCCTCTTTACTTCACAGAGCTACAGAAAACATGAAAGTAGGTTACTAAATGAATCTGTCAGTATTCTAGCATCACACAATGTATTTAAACATAGCATTTCTCTCTCGTTCACACAAACACACACATTCTCTTCACTTTCGGACAAGTGTTTGTCGGCTATCGCTTCTTTATCCTGCAAAAGATCAAAAACAATTGCTTTAATAGGTTTAAATACTCAGAAATCCCCTAAGAACATCTTGACCCAGAAGCTTAAGTGAGAGGAGACCCGAGTCATCAAATGATATGAGATATTCTGAGACAGACACACAAACAAACAGCTGTCTAGATCGTTTCAGAGCTCCTGACATTTGCACAAACAGTAGTATGCTATTCTGAACACAGCTACTATCCAGCAAAATTATGGTACCATTTCCCTAACAAAACAAGACATTCCCAGAATGCATTGCAACTAGTTTTGAAAAACAATTTTTGGTTCCTGGAACGTTCTTATTTGGTTCCCAAAAAAACAACAAAAAAAGCAAATGGGAACCATATGGGAACATTAGGGGAACAGCAGACTGGGTCAAGTAAGTATATTTTTATTAATTACTGATAAATTTAGTATTCATGCATGCAGTATTATTTTAGTATAATTGAAATACTACTATACGTTTATTAATATTTTGAGTTTCCATTTTCTATTTATGTATGTACGCGGATACGTTGTTTATGTTCAGCTCAAAGCGTAAACAACGCGTATCCGCGTCCATACGTTGTTTACGTATGTGATACTCTCCAAAATGGCGCTATAGGGTGACGCGGAGGAGACGAATTGCTGAAT